ATCCCTCCCACCCCACCCCCCACTCCAGCAACCCTCAGTTTGTTTCCTGCAATTAAGAATTCCTCATATCAGTGAGATCATATGATACATGTCTTAATATATTGCCTCTTATAAGTGAGGGCTTTGGGGGTTTTTGCCATTACAAAAATAATTTGCCCTACTGTCAAAATCATTCTAATTAGGGGCACCTAAGCTGCACAGGTGTAGATGATAAAAGTTTTGTCAGGGAATCTTGGCAGCTGACGGAGCCTTTGAAGATCTTCTACTGAGTTCAGTTTCCCCAACATACAGATGAGCACAAAGGACATTCGAGAGGATCAGCCATCTAGTGCAGGGTTCTGTCTTTGAGAAACACTAAGCCACAAGGCAGTTTCTCAAACTTTGGGCAATCCCATGGCAACCTCACAATTTCTGCCACAGCTGGACTATTACTTACTGCCTAACTTTCTTCAAAGCGACCCAGCTTCTCCAATTAATGAATTATCATGTTCATAAAAATAAAGGGTTGGTGTGTTTGTTGCTTTTCAAATATCCTTTGAAATAAATAGATTAAAAAACTGTGTCCACCTAAAATGATCTCCTGACCATCAACACTGCATCAGGGAAAGTGTCTACCTGGTGCTCGAGGAGATCTGGGTGTTCACCCTTGTCTCCCAGTAACTGCTGTTTGTAATTGAGCGAGTTTTGCAACCTCTCCTGCACTCAGTCGCTTATCTTTAAACCAGAGGGCTGGCCTAATGTCTAAGGGTCAGGCTCCAGCCTCTTGACTCCGGGGTCAGGGCTGGCCACCCTTACTCCACGTCTGCTCCTGCCAGCAGGGGGCCTCGTGTGTCCAGTGTCCTTGTCACATCCTCTGTGTTGATTTTAAACTTTAGCTAAAAAATACAGCTCCAGGTTACAAAACACAGGACCCCGATGAAATAGTGGTTTGAGAGTAAACTGGTGCCCTCCTTCCCAGCACTATTTGACAGGACGTTTATAGAAATTCCACGCTAAGGATTTCATATTGGAAGGAAATAAGAGATGCTGCCAAGTGTTCATGCCACGGCATAACAGTACTTATTATAGCAAAGAATGGTTAACAGCATAAATGTCCAATGATAGGAAAAGGTTAAAATTAAATATCATTTTCGGGGCACCTGGATGGCTCAGTCAGTGAAGCATCTGCCTTCAGCTCAGGTCATGATCCTGGGATTGAGTCCCTCATGGGGCTCTCTGCTCAGCGGGGAGTCTGCTTCTCCCTCTCACTCTGCCTGCCCCTCCCCCTGCTTGTGTGCACGCACGCGCGCTGTCTCTCTCTCTCTCTCTCTCTGTCAAATAAATAAATAAATAAAATCTTTAAAAAAATGTATAAATTAAAAAATTAAATATCATTTTTAAGACTGCCTCGTGGTGTGTGGACATGCTCCCAATAAGTGAGAAAAAAGGTATATGAGCAATCATTTAGAATGCAACAATTTTGCAAATACATACAGATGCAACAGAGTAAAAAACAAAGAAAAAAGCATATAAGGCACTAAAGGGTTAATTGTAATTGTTTCCGGGTGGTGGAATTATGAGGATTTTAATTCTCTTTTTTCTATTCTCATGACATATTTTTCTTCCTTTATAATAAATATACTTTACTTTTAGTATCAAAAAACACAAAGCTGTAATTTTTAATAAAAGACTACACCTCTTTTTTGGCTCTGATCCTGTGGGAAATATCCAATCCCACTTAAAAAAAAAAAAAGAGAAGAGAAAAATATTTATTGAGAATATATTCTTAGTCCTGAGATACGGAAGAACATCTGTAATAACAATCTCCTGACACCTCCCTAAGCTCCATTTTCTGTTTTCTTTGTTAAAGAACTGCTGTTTTTAAAGACCTTTTAAAGACAAGCAGGCACCTGAGGCGAGCTGGACTTCTTTCCAAGGGATGCTCCCACCCCTCCCTCCCACCTCCCTTTCTCCACATGGAGCGAGAAAGAGAACAGTGGGCCTGTCCGGGGATGTTAAGGCTAAACAGAGCATTGTTTCTTAATTTTGAAAAAGTTTACTTCATTGGCTTTCAATTTAATTTTTTTAAAATGCTTTATGTTTTCACAAATCAGTGGCACCTTAACTCGCTGCCGAAAGTGTTCTTTCACCACACAGTGATACCTCACTGCTCAGTTATTTTTCAGAGAATCCCTTATGCATTCCTTATGCCTTCCCACTCTGGATAACCTTACCCCCACCAGGTGCCGGGTTGGAGGCTGTTCATTGTTACCTAACTACTTAAGTATGTTGCATCAAGAACATTTAGCAAGCAGGCCAAACAATTTAACCTTTTGAAGAAGTGTTAACTGACGACAAAACACTATACACTGTATGTTTCTTAAATGATCAATGCTAGAAGAGAAAAACAAAAGCAGTCATTTGCCAGACTCGAGACAAACTAAAAACATCGAGGTGGTTCTTTTTTTCACTTACATTCTGAAACAACAGACAAAAACCCCACCTAGAAATGATCTAGGTTCAGCAAACAGATACCTATACAAACATGAACAGAATGAGATGGATTTTTATGTTCTGATGTGGAAAAATATCCTAGATATAAAGTGAAAATACGCTGGTGCAGAATACATACATAGTATGATTGCATACTACATAAAGTAAGGGCTAGATACGTGTGTATTTGTACACAAATACACATTTCTAAAAGGAAACACAAGGTCCTGTTCCCCTGTGAAGAACTGAACTGAGGCAGGGAAGGAGAAAGGGCTTTACTTTTCATTACATGTATTTCTGTCCTTTTTCCAATCCTTTTTTTTTACCTTGCGCAGGCATTACTTCTAAAATTTTTTAAAAAGGAGGTTCAAAATGAGTTCTGTTTTGGAAAATAAAGGTCAACACCTTTGAGGAAAAAAACCTCATCTTACTGTTGACTTTTTAAAAACATCTTTCTTGGGGCCCTGGTTGGCTCAGTCGGTAGAGCATGAGACTCTTGATCTCGGATCTCCCGGTGGTGAGTTCAAGTCCCACATGGGTGTAGAAATTAGTTTAAGAAAAATATTTTAACATCTTTTTTAGAAAAATTTAAAACAATAAGAAAATAAAAACAGCTTTCTTAAGATATAATTTGCTTAACATAAAATTCATCCATTGTAAAGTACAGAGTTTGTTGACTGGATTTGGTGCTGAGTTCTAAGAATTTATATGGCATGAGAAACAAAACAGCCTTTCAGATAACTATGCACAATAGCTTTCCTAAGAAATCTCTGGGGTATCAAAGATCTAAGCCAATTTTGTGATTGCAACGAGCACAAATAGCGGGCCTTCAGATTATGCGAGAAAGGGTGGATCCAGCAAATCCCAGAGTTCAACCAAAAAAAAAACAACTAAAAAAAAGGAAGAGCAAACCCTTCAGGTCAAACTTCAGTTCTCCAGGTGGAAGGGCACGTGTTCCTAAGCGAGCAGCAGCGACTGGACCTGGACGTGCTTCTCAAACAAAGCCAAGCAGTTCATTTTAAACTTTGAACTTCGAACTGTCCTAACTCTCGAGTCTTTTCCCCCAGTAACCTGCCCAAAGCTGCCCCCGGAGGCTGGAGCTTTCGGGGCGCAATTGCTCAGCTGCCTAAGGTCTCTCCCCCTGGGCGGCGGGAGGGGGATGCCGCGTCCGCATCCCTGGTCCTGCATCCGGGAACCCGCATCCCGGGACCCGCACCCCCGACCCCGCATCCCGGGGCCCCACTTTCCCCAGATCCGCATCCCCGCCCGCAAATCCCGGCCCCGGCGACGGCGCACGCCACTCCTCCGGCCCCGGCTCCCACCTGTGCCCCGAAGCATGTTGTCTCGGAGCAGGTCCCCGCTGGAGAGGTGCTTCAGCGCGAAGTGTTTGGTGATGCGCGACGACACGGTGCCCTTGCCCGAGCCCGGCGCCCCCATGATCACCGCGCGCAGCAGCCGCGCGGACGCCCCCATGGCCGGAGGGAGCCGCCCGGGCGGCGCGCGCGG